TCCCCCCCCGTCGGGGCGCGGGAAGAGTTTTTTGACCATTTTGTGAGAAAATAGGGTGAGGGTCTTTCCCTGGTCTAGAGCTGGTCCTTTCCATTTTTCCAAAGAATATTTTGTCCTGCTCCTCATTGCCTTGTGCAGGAAAAAACTGGTTAGAAGCTTCAGACTGCTGTTGGAGGGTCCGGGTGAGGGTTCTCAGCTCTTCCCTTCTTCCTGCAAAGAGTTTCTTTAACTCTGGAGGGTGCTCCCAGCACCTGGATGTGTTGGTTCGCAGCAGCGTTAGCTCCAAGTAAGGTGACTCCTTTTACTCTCCTCGCAGGAATTAGGGGTATTTCAGAAGAGACAACCACTGGAGTTCACAACCTGTACAAGATGAAGGCCAATGGGACCCTGAAGGTGCCGGCTATCAACGTTAACGACTCTGTCACCAAGGTAATGCAACTAGAGCCCTTCTGTTATGTTCTGCTGTCTGACCGCGTTGGTGTTGGGATGCTGTCATTCCCATGGATGGAAGTTTTCCTTCTCTTACTGAGCTATTCTTGACCTGGTACTGAACAGAGTTTCACCGTATCCTTGAAGCGAGCCCATGATGTCTCTAATGGGACATGTCATTGTAAATACCTTGTTTTCAGAACATCAAGGGCTTTTTTGTACCTGCTTCTGCATTTTAATAATGTGAAAATACCTTTAGAAATCATAGCTCCTGGGGTACAGTCAGTTTGGGCAGCAAGGGGCATGTCCTCACTCGGAGCAGCTTAAAGCCCAGGAGTAGGTGGCAGGTTCCAGCTGGAAAAGAGAGCGGGACCTACGTGAGCTTGTGGCTGGTGAAGGTCAGTTGACCTGACAAAGTGTCTCTGCGAGCAGCGGTTGCAAAGGATAGGAGGTATTTATTCCTTGCTTAGCTACATTGCTGCTTCCTGAGGCAAATCCTGGTGAATTGTGGGATGAGGGAGAAGGATGTTTAAAGGGTGCTGGTGCTTTTTGGATGCAGCTGAATTATAGTCGGAATTTCAGGTGTACCTAAGGGTTATGCATCTAGGTGTTTTTTAAATGGCATGCTGACATCATCCTATTGGGCATGGCAGTTCTCACTGGTTTTGGCCTGCGTTCTCTGCAGTTTGCTGTCTGAACAGTATCTCCTTTCTGCTCACAAAGATGATCTGGCGTTTTTATTTCATAGCTGGTGGGCTGCAATACAGTTGATTTTTGGAAGAAGCTTGTTTCTCTGCATCCTTTTCACCTGGATTCGTGCTTCCTGCATAATAACTATTAGTGCTGTTTATTAGATTTGGAAATTCAGATGTTTTTGAAAAAGCCTCTGGAGTGGATTTGGGTTGAACTCACTTTATTCTAGTGCCAAACAAGTGCTTGTTTTCAAATACTGTTTGGCATTTATGTAGTAAAAGATTTGTACTAACCACAGTTACAGATCTTCAGGAAGGCGTGCAATTGAGCTGACAAATTCTGCTCTCCCAGTTTGATATAGGAACCTGACACTACGTGAAGATTTGTATTTGGAGAGAGAAGGCAGGCAGCATCCAGTTCTGTTCTTCCGTCCTGCCACTCAGATGTGTTTCTGGGTAGGACTGCATCCAGCACTGCGCTCCTTGCTTGCATGGAAAGGCTTTGATAGCAATTGGGGGATTTGGTGATGAGGAATCAAATCTGCCTATGCTGTTTTCCTCCGTAAGAAGGCTTATACTGCAAGGAAAATCTGCTGGAGGATGAGAAAAGAGGATTACCAACTGGCACTAGCTTTGGAATTTGAAGGACTGGTAACACAAATTTTCTGAAATATTAATGGCAAATGTGCCTGTGATAAGACTTACAGGCACCAAGTCAGGGACTTCTGGATCTGAAGTACAACTTCTTACACGTTAGTCCTTGACCAGCTTCTGAGGCTGGGAGCGATATGCCACTGTACCTTGTAGCTCGCTCAGATAATGCATTGGAGTCACAGCTGCAACACTTTTATACCCAGACTTTGTATTTTTTTATTAGAAAAATTTTACAGTTTTAAGCTGTAGACTGAAAACCAAACTGTAATACTGTCTTACACATGCTAGATGGAACCAGCCATAGCTTCAGCTGGGACCTACCTTGCAAGATCAGTGCCCCTACTCGCATCTAGGTGTGCAGTCTTAGGACTGCTTGTCGCAGACAGCGCGACCTGTGTTAAGTGAAAGCAAGAATGATCAGTGACCTGAGGCTGTAGACAGCACAGGGCAGGCTCTGGGGCCAGAATTTTGCTGTGAATGGTGAGTTCTTTATACCCCTGCTTTGGGAGGCACAGCACAACTTTGGTAGCCAGATTTCTTAAATTCTTGACTTCTGCAACTCTTCAGATCATCAAATCTGTTTATACAGTCCATCCTCCTGCTTGAAACAAAGGGCTTAGGGAGAAAAAGAAGGAGCATTACAAAAGTCGTTACAGCAGTATGAGTTTCTGAGCTTAGGAAGATGTTCAGGTGAAGCACTATTTGACATCGGACATAGCAAGGGGGTCTTTTTTTGGAGGTCTGGCTGTTAAGCTCATGTGTTCATGTTACAGTAGGAGGATGTTGTGCCATGGGGCATCAGGAGATGAAATCCAGGGCTTGTTGGTTGCAGTGATGGGTACTGTGAATGGCTCTATGCTTGATTTTTCTAGATTTGAGCAGTGGTGAGGTCTGGCAGTGTTAGCGTAAGTGTTCCTGGCGGAAGACGCAATTTTGATCTTCCTGGGCTGCAGGAATCAAATTCTTATGATTGACGTGGGCAAGTTGCTGCTTCTGCAGGGTGTGTGTCTTGCAAAGATAAGAATATGTGCTCACCAATTGGCCAGATGTTCTGCTGATATGTTTTGCCTACCTGTGGCACTTGGTTCAGTTCATTGGCTGATAAACAGCAGTGGAGAGCTGGTGAACGTCTGGTTAAGGATCTTGAACCTACCTCTGTACGCAAGAATCGTTTGTGCTTTTTCTTGATAAATTCAGGTTACTTCTTACAAGCTTTTAACATGTCCGAGCCCCAGTCAGTAGACACAAGGTATTTATGAAGTACCTCTCACCAGGAGTGTGTTGAAGCCTGTATCTGCTGTAACTATATAGATTGAAACTGGATAAATAAATAAAACAGTCAAGCCAGGTTATCTTCCCATCCCTCACTGGTTAGAGTATTTAGCTGGCGGTCAGCCTCCTGGTTTGTAGTACTTGCATGTAAGTCCATTTTGTTTCTCTAAGGAATTTTTACTTGAGTGACTTTCACCTGTTTGTGCTCTTTCTTCCTCAGAGCAAGTTTGATAACCTGTATGGCTGCAGAGAGTCCCTCATCGATGGCATCAAACGTGCTACAGATGTCATGATTGCTGGGAAAGTAGCAGTCGTGGCAGGTTACGGTGATGTGGGCAAAGGCTGCGCCCAGGCCCTGCGGAGCTTTGGAGCCAGAGTCATCATCACTGAGATCGATCCCATCAACGCGCTGCAGGCAGCCATGGAAGGTGAGAACTGGAGGAGATGCAGACATTAATGCTTCCGGCAGGAGTCTCTGCACGTCGGTGCAGAGCAATAAATAATAGTTGGCCAAAAAAGTTCCAGTGGGTTTCAGTTCTGTCCCTGTTGAGGTAGAGGTCACTCCAGTTTAACTGTAGGAATTCTTTCTTTACAGTTAGGGAGTGACTTTATAGGCCTTGAAGATGTGTTTGAGGTCAAAGATGTAGAGACTGTAGCAGGGTAAGGCCCCCATTTCATAGGGCTGTACGCCTGGTTTTGAATGGGTTCATTGGCTTCAGGTTACCAAATATCCTGGGCTGCATCCAAAGCAGCGTGGGCAGCAGGGCGAGGGAGGGGATTCTGCCCCTCTGCTCTGCTCTTCTGAGACCCCCCTGCAGTGCTGCATTCAGCTCTGGGGTCCCCTCCAACATCAGAAGGACATGGAGCTGTTGGAGAGAGTCCAGAGGAGGCCACAAAGTTGATCCAAGGGCTGGAGCACCTCTGCTATGGAGACAGACTGAGAGAGTTGGGGCTGTTCAGCCTGCAGAAGAGAAGGCTCCGGGGAGACCTTCCAGCACCTTCCAGTACCTAAAGGGGCTACAAGAAAGCTGGAGAGGGGCTTTGGACAAGGGTGTGTAGTGACAGGACACGGGGCAATGGCTTTGAACTGAAAGGGGAGAGATTTCGATTAAATATAAGGAAGAAGTTTTTTAAACTGAGGGTGGTGAGGCACTGGGCCAGGTTTCACAAAGAAGTTGTGGCTGCCCCATCCCTGGAAGCGTTCAAGGCCAGATTGGATGGGGCTTTGAGCAACCTGGTGTAGTGGAAGGTGTCCCTGCCCATGGCAGGGGGGCTGGAACTAGGTGATCTTGAAGGTCCCTTCCAACCCAAAGCATTCTATGATCATAAGTTGTGCAACCCTAACCTGTAGTGTGGGTTAAGACTTCACTAGAATATCTCCACAGTAAAACACCCGTCCTTACCTTCAGTAGATGTTTTTGGAGAGCAAATGCCATGCTCTCTGCCTTTCCAGCTGTGCTTATGGCATGCTCTGGAAGCTGTACTGCTTCTCTTCTATGGATGCCTCCTGTAACTATGCTTCTTAGTACTGGTTTATCCCATTTCTAGTCATACCTGACTAGAACCTGCAGGTGTTGTGGGTTCACTTTCCTTTGTAAACTTGACACCTTGAATGCAGTCTGAGTGCTGTGCCAGATACACTGCCTGTGGACATAAGACATCCAATGTGTAGGTCTACAGATTGGAAGCAGGTTGGTATTTAGTAAGACAAGTATACCCACTACCTTGTGTCCTCCATAGGTCAGGTGTTGGCACAGACTTCTCTTACTCATTCTTTCTCTGTACTTTTCTACTTCGTACTATTGTAGCCCATTTCGTAGTAAGTGCTTGTGTTTGGGTAGAGGAGTAACTTTTTCTCTTTTCAGGTTATGAAGTTACAACCATGGAGGAGGCCTGCAAAGAAGGCAATATCTTTGTTACCACCACTGGCTGCACTGACATTGTTCAGGGCAGGTATGGTCTAGGCACTTGCTTTAGTGAAAGCATGACTGTACAACTAGGTTTTTTTAAAATACAATCATAACTTGTCAGCGGTGTGGTGAGGGTTAGCACACAGTCTCACTTCTGGACGTCAGAATTTAGCATCAGTTTAGTGAGAAACCAGTGCTTTGGTCTTTCAGTTCTCTTGGGTGCTGCCCCATTGCAATCGTTCCTGTACGTAATGATGGAGAAACAAAAGATCTAGAGAGAGAGATATTTTTGGAGAGTGAGAGCATCAGGGCTGAATTCTGTGTTAGGATAGATAAATGCGACCAGGAGGAGGGGTTAGGGAAGGGTTGAAAAGCAAAGGTTGAAAGTGATTCCATCTGAATATGCATACCAGGCTTGAAACTAGCCAGTTCTCAAACTACCCTGCAGTTCTTTTGTTATTGCTTTTTCACTCTCAATTTATGGCCCCTCCACTCTACGCAAACTCATTCCTCTCTTTGCCATTATGATTGCACATGTTATAGTGGAAGATTAGATTAAGTGGGAGGGGATAAGGTCATTAGTCTTGAGATGTAGAACTGCTGGAAACTGTAAAGTCATGAAGAAAATTATTTCTTCTATATAGGAAAGAGAATAACTGCAGGTATTTCAGTTTTGACCAATTAAAATAGTTCTACTTTCCGTACTTTGGGAAAATATTTTCTCTCCAATAACCTTTTATATCCTTGGGAAGTGTCCCTCCCTAGGAGCTTGAGATTTTTTCCAGTAGACTTCCCATGCCTGGAAGATAACCAGACCCACACATCTTGAGAGAGTCAAATGCAGTCAGCGAGCCAGGCACTCTCCACTTCTCCTTGAGCAGAGCTATGGACCAGAGCATCCTCTGGTGATGAAGATTTTTTTTGTGTGTGTATTAACTTTTGATATAACTTTTTTTGCAGGCACTTTGAGCAGATGAAGGATGATGCCATAGTGTGTAATATTGGCCATTTTGATGTGGAGGTTGATGCAAAGTGGCTGAATGAAAACGCAGTAGAGGCGGTGAACGTTAAACCTCAGGTGAGACAGCCCTCGCACAAGCTCTCCTGCTAGAAAGAAGCAATAGTGACTCAGTGTCTGTTTTCAGAACTGGGGAGTATTTCTGCTCAGGTACTTTGTGTTTCCAGCTTTTTTTGGAAGCCAGGGTTGGTCTGGGCTGATCAAAACAGAGATTTTGCACTGCTCTTCCCTGATGAACCTGGAACAAGCTGCATGTCATATTCTTGTGTTGGTATTAAAGCAACTGGTTCCAGCTGGTGCCCAAGTGTACAGCATAGTCGCTGGCAAGAGGCACCTGATATGGATGTGTCTTTCTCCATGTGTTCCTCCTTCTTTGACAAACAGGAGCCCACCCTTTAGTGGTGGTTATGTAGACAATTCATTGCATCAAGTTCATTCCATACAGGAAGTCAGCTTGGATGATTGGGATATGGTGAGGAGGTATGGAAATGTGCTTTCTTTGATAGCCCCCAGCTGAAAACAATGCCATAACTCAGATTCAAAAAGCAAGTTAGATGATGAATATAGAACAGACCATTAGAGACCATATGAAACTTAAGAACAGAGCCCATAGATTGTGTGGTGGCTGATGTGACTTTCCTCTCTGGAAGCTGCTTGCTCATGTGCTGCTCTGCTCCAGGACAATCTTGGTCCTGGTGCAGGGTGCCAGGATCCTGGTGCAGGGTGCCAGGATTACAGTGAATCTTGAGGGAGTGTCTTCTGGGATTCTGTCAAGGTTTGAAAAAATTCACACCTCTTTGTTTTCAAAGCGTTTTTTTTTTTTTTAACTTGGAGATTGATGCCTCAGGAAAGCCTGTCTGGAGCTCTGCCAAACTCAGACTTCTCTTGCAGACTTAGTGGCTTCGTTTTAGAAACCTGTGTAGACCAGAAGTCTGTGTGTGGGCAGACAAGGCAAGATGCTTTATCCTGGCTCAGCTTGCACTCCCACCTTATTTTTACTTCAAGTTATGTCTGTAGCTATACAGGAAAATAGGGGTGTAAAAATTTTAACTTTTCAGCTTCATGTCCTAAAGCACATGGAAACTAAATTTAGTTTGCAACTAAATCAAAACTGTTTTGTAACACCAGCGTTGAGGGAGGTCATCACAAAGCAAACCAGGCTTTGTCTCACTTGGCATGAGAGTTCTAGTTACCTTCTGAAGAGGGAGTGTGTGTGCTGATAGCAGGATTCTGGGACAGGTTTTCTACTTTTTAAAAAACACCACACCCAAGCATATGTCTTAGTAGATCTCAATCTGCCCTTCCAATTTTCATAACTCTCCTGTGGCTTATTGGCCACCCACATCAAACTCTAAGCAATTGTGAGTCTTTTCAGTATCCTGTTTGCTGCTGCAACACTCTACAGTGTTGCAGCACTGCAAGACATACAGTGCTCAGCTGGGTATGAAGTGTGCCCTCAAGTTCTCACTACGTTTGAGTCTGTTCTTGCCCATGACCTTAGCGTGGAGCTGACTTTGCTCAGCAGCTCTTCTCCTAGAGGAGCCTGCAGCTAGCTGCATGCCTTCTGGTAGCTTTGGTGTTAAAACTAAAATTGAGACTGCTCAAAAAGTAAACATTGTTGAAGGCTCAATTGGATGCTAATATGGTAACATGCAAACCACCTGCCTGTGGCCGTTCAGCATGGCTCCTAGAGTCCATGTGAAAATGGTGTCACTGTTGGCAGAGGTGGCAGTCCCTTTCTTCATGTGCTCTGTGTAGAAGGAGCCAGTCTGTCACAGATGTGTTAGATGCAATGAGATGGACTCTAGTCCAAGGTATGAAAATAGTAACAATTTTCTGGTTAAAAACTGACTATTACCTTTTCGAAAGGATAGAATTAGGGTCAAGGTCATCCATATGGCTTAATGCTGAAGACCTGCCTTCTACCCTGAATTTTTCTGGTCTGTTATACAAACTGTTGTTGGAAGCAGGATGTTCAGAGTGATGCAAAGGAGCAAAACCTGTGAAAATAGCTGCCCAGCATGCTGTGGGTGTCACAGGTGTGTTTGCTTAAAAGTCATTAGCTAAAGTTTGTGAAAGACGTCTCTGACAGCCCTGCGTGGACCACCTCTGTCTCAGCTTCATGTGCAGGTAGCTGAAGCTGAGAGGATTTCCAGGGGGAAATAGCGTTTTACCCTTGGGCTATTCTACTTTTCCTTGCCCATCTACTGGTTACCACTGGAGATGGGATGTACCTAGAGGCAAATCTGATCTTCCGTGGCTATTCCATGTGTTTGAAGCTTTTCTGAGGTGAGGATGGCCAATAGATGGCCAGTAAAAGCTGGTCCCTGGCTCAGGTTAGTACTTGGGTGTTGTTGACTTCTAGCAGTGAAGTTTGAAGCACTGTTACCTAATTTGAATCTTCAGTTGGACTCTTACTGGTGTATTTAGTGCTATATGTAATGATGCTGTGCTAGTGGTATACCCCTGGGCTCCATTTTGTCTCTGTTTAGATTATTTTGCCCATAAAGACTTCAGACCTGCATAATGAGGCAAGGAGGTACCTGCTGAGCAGGTGTTACATGAGCAAGTTCTGCTGTGTAAAAACTTCATTATTCTTCATTTTCATCTCCGTACCTGATTGCCATGGTGACTGGGCAATTGAGCAGGAGTGAACTAATACACATCCTAAAAGCTTACTCCCTTCAAAAAGGGGAGAGACAGGACTGGGAGGCAAAATGTGACTTAATAGCCCTAAATTCCATGCTTGAAGCAAACTAAAAGGTATTGAGTAGAAATCTGCTGCAATTGCTTCACTATTCCAGGGCGTGCATTAACTTTAGGTTTAGAAACAAGCTCCCAGGAGGTATCCTGCAGCTTCTGTCCCTCACCACCTGCACTGGAATTTGTCCGCATGTCTCGGGACCTTTCTCAGGGCACCAGTGATGAGTCTTTACAATAAATGATAGAATTTCTCTTACACGGAAATCTGGGAAGGAAATTATCAGATTGCCACTTCTGCCATTGCTGGCTTCTCCGTTTTGTTGCTCAGGTTGATCAAAGGGACACTTCTGTGATCATCTTGTCCCTGATATTTTGGGGACCTCAAGGGGAGGTTAGTCCTGTGTTAAAGGTGTGAGATCTTCCACTTGTCCTTATAATAACCTATGTCCTTTCACAGCAGTGTTCTGAGTGAGATATCATGTGTTTGATAATAAAGTACTAACTTTCTATGTAGTCAAATCTTACTAAGACCTGCCAGCTCTTTTCTATGTCCTGTAGCAAGGAGGGGAATATAGGAGAAGAGCAAAAATCTCTACCCTCCTATGAAGACATCTTTCTCTTGATCAGAAGATTAATACCAGAGCTGAGGGTTGCTGGACTTCAGCTAGAGGTGGAGAGTAATTGTGAGAGTGTCCAGCATGGTAGTTTTCAGTCCCATATGGTCTCCATTTACAAGTTTTAAGAAATAATTCATACTTGGGACAGGAAAATGTCTTATTGTGCCATTCCGACTCATCTGTTGCTTTCAAAGTACAGTTAAGGAGGAAGTAGGCTGATTACTGACAAGCTGGCGAGTTGTTTTGGATACTTCTTGTGCCCTGGTCTTGCTCAGCCGCGTTCTGGTGTTAGACCGATGTGTAGCACAAGCTCAGCTCTGGAGGGGAAGGAAAGGTCAGGTGGGATCAAGGAACTTTGGCTCTGAAAAGAAATTATTCATGTGTCATGGTGTGGAGAGAAGTGCAAAGCAGCCAGAAAGTCCAGAGCAAGGTAAACGCTGACAGGGAAAGGGAGGAGGCGTTTGTGCAAGTGTGGAGATGGACTTAACGCTGGGATAACTGGAATTTTACTGCTGTGGCAACTTCTTGAGCTTATGAATCCACCTGTTATCTGCCCGTAGATGAGATGTGTTTCCATGGCACTGACTTAAGCCTCTGCCAGCGCCACTATTTTGTGTTTATTTCTGTGCAAAGACATTAATGTGCATTTTCCGCGTTGCTGTGTGCGCTGAATGAGTCGCGTCAGCGGATTGCCCAAGGGGGGTCCCTCCCTGCGCACGCCAGCAGCTCTCTGGGTGCAAGCTGTGTTACATGGGTACGATGCTTTGACACCTGAACCACTCCATTCAGACTTCAGAACTGAAATGCTACTTAACTACTACCTTGTAGTAGTTTAATCTGTAAATACAATGTTTAATATAAGTAATATATTGTTGTGATAGGACAAGGGGTAATGGTTTTAAAATAGAGGGCGGTAGATTCAGGTTGGATGTTAGGAAAAAATTTTTTACCATGAGAGTTGTAGAACACTGGAACAGGTTGCCCAGAGAGGTGGTGGATGCTCCATCCCTGGAGACGTTCAAGGCCACGTTGGATGAGGCCCTGAGCAACCTGATCTAGTTGGAGATATCCCTGTTCCTTGCAGGGGGGTTGGACTAGATGACCTTTGAAGGTCCCTTCCAGCCCTAACCATTCTATGATTCTAATATTGTAGCTGTTCTCAGTTTTTTTAGTATTCTCCTTTCTGGCTGCTCTGTTCTTTGTTTCATTACTTCCTCCCATAGTCTTATGGTAGCCCATATGGTATTTTTTGGATGGACTGAGCCCTGTCACTAGTTGTCCACAATGGAGAATCAGCATCTGCAAGAAGTATTGCAACTGCTGAGTAGAGCGTTCTTACTAACCCTGCCTTGCTGTACTGCTCTTGGACAGGAGAAAGGAAGAATGATGTTTAGGGCTTCTGTTTGAGGTGGTTACTGTCTGCACATGTTGTGCTGAAAACATTCATGTTGTGTGAACTCAAGAAGCAGAAAATAGTGCTGCGCTTGAAGCATAGCTGGGGAAGGCAGTTGGAGGCACAGACCTGCTCTGAAGGCAGAGTATCTGTTCTAGTAGAACAGTTTCTGTTGGTTTACTTACTACGTCTCTGCTAAGGACTTCCACAAAGATGTTTTTTTCAGAAGATGGTGTTGTTACAATTAAAGCTTCATCCCACATGGCTTTTGAGTTACAGGCCAAAGCTTTAAGACTAAAAGTGAAAGTGACATGTGTTTTGCTTCACCTTAAATAACTTTTGAGACTAAAAGCATAAATACAGCTGCGGGGAGGGACCCTTTTAGGTCTTTCACAGTTGCTGTGCTATGACAGCATAAGATAAGTGGCCGTGCCTGAAGCATTAACCTTTGTCAAAGTTGGTCGTTGATTGTCTTTGAAGTCTTTCCAAACCTTTGCTCTACTCCCCCGTGCTTGGTGTGACACGAGCAATAAATACCAGCAAATACTGAATATTCTTGTAACTCATAGGTCATATTGATGTTTCATTCTGGGCTCTAATATTAACTCCTACGGGGTGAAGGCAGGGGAGAGAAGAGCTGGTGACTGGTGGCAAGGAGAAGCAGAGTTAACTTTAACACTGAGGGAGCCCAGTCTGGCCCAGACAGTTGAGGGACATATTAAGTGACGTTATCTTCTGAGTCGTGTGGGACTCTCTCTCAGAGCTGAAGATCTGTCTCCTTAGCCCATCTGAGACTTGATTCTATGTGCAGAGCCCTGTTGTCTCCAGCGTAGCTTGGAGATCAGTCTGAGTGGAGGACCATGTCTTTGGCCCCCTGAGAGCAGAGGAGGGTACCCCAGAAGCTAGGTCAGCTGTTTATTATACTGTAAAGCTTTGAACTTATGGAAGTGGGAAGAGTTGCAGGGGAGCAGTTTCAGCAGGCTTTTCCCTGGTGTTAGATGCAAAGGCTCTGGACTGTTGCATGCGGAGATGTTCCCTCTTCTCTCCTGTCTCTCCACACCAGTTGTTACTACTAGGTGTATAGGAAGTGCGTTTTACTGCTAGCAGCATGCTCCCCACCACAGCCATCTGGGACAACGTGCATGTGGAAAAACCAGAAGAACTGGGTAACTGGTTAAGTATGAAGCAGATGCTGAGACTCATGTTGTGCGAAGCCCAGAATAGCTACAGGCTTCACAAAGGCTGGCTGGGAGTTGAGGGAGGGGCGTCTCAGTTGTAATCAGTCTGTGTTGCAAGCCCACGGCTGAACTGATGTGGGAAGAAAGCCCACCAAGCTTTGTGTGATTTGAAGTGCCCTCTGTACCCTGACATGGCACTGCTCTCGCGTTCTCCCACCCAGGTGGATCGCTATACGCTGAGGAACGGCCGTCATATCATCCTGCTCGCGGAGGGTCGGCTGGTCAACCTGGGCTGTGCCATGGGTCACCCGAGCTTTGTCATGAGCAACTCCTTCACCAACCAGGTGCTGGCACAGATCGAGCTGTGGACCCACAGTGACAAATACTCTGTCGGAGTCCATTTCCTGCCAAAGAAGGTGAGTTGGAACAGCAGAAAGATGCCAGCCTGGAAGGCAGCATCTTCAGATGTGATCGTGTAGATTTGCTCCGTTTGTGCTTGAGTTCGTTTTCCTACTGAATGTTGTTGTTGCAAGGACTGTCTGTCCCTCAGTGAATGCTTGACTTTGGTCATGCTGAGCCTGAAGTGGGCTGGTTTTTGTGGCTAACCTGTTGTGCAGAGCGGGGACTTGTCTGCCACATACAATAGGAGCAGCCAGTTGTTCTTTGGCTTGACCTGAGGTTGCTCCTGAAGGTGCTGGGAAGCCCTGTGCTGCCTCAGAGTAGTCTGGGAGCTTCTCCCAACCAACTTGTTCCTTCTGCTGAACGTCGGCGTTCACAGCAAGCTTTCACATGCCTATCCAGCAGCAAAGTCTAGTGGGGCAGAGTTAAAGCTGGAGTGAAACCAGGAATCACTTCTGCTGTGGTTGATGGAGTCTGGATCCCATTTGCACTTGAGCAGAGCTTATCACAATCTGGTCCTAATAGCGTCACAAAATATTAATCATAGATTCCCTCACATTAATTTCCCTTTAAACTTATCACTGCATTCTTTGTTCTTGGAAAATCTGGATTATGTCACAACTTGCAAATTCCTTTTATAAAACTAAGCTGGTCTTAATTTTCCTGAGAAAATTAAGCCTGAGAAAACAAGCCTGAGAATTTGAAAAAGTCATTGAAAAAGATGCTGGAGTTAAATCCCACTGCCTTTGGAATGCAACCAAGTGTCAGACTAAACGTGAAAAAGGTTTCATTTGGCAAGTAGAATGTGTATGTCTGGGCAAGCTATGAAGTGTTTGCTGAGGGCTTCAGCTTCCAGAACCATCCGTCGATGATCAAACGAAGCATACCAGAAGTATTACGTGGGAGTTGATCAGCAAGCTGACACATAATCATCTTCAAAGGAAAAGTTTTATTGACAGTCCTCTTGAAAGTGATAGTCCAGTGTTGCTAATAAAATATGACTTCATCCTCTTCCTGAGTAACAATTTTTACTCAGCATACTTGAACTGGGAGTGAGAAGCAATGCCCAGATCAGAGTTGCACGTTAGTGGAGCGCGGGGCAGGGATCTTTTCAGGTTCATGTACTGTGCTAAAATGCTCTTTTTACCCTCTGTGCTCCATAGAGAGTTTCAAAGAATGAAGCAGTCACCTTGTCAGAATCAACAAAAGATGGGCAGAAGAGCTTTCTCTGGCAATTTTCTGGCTAGTATCTTTCCTTGTTCTGTGTGGTAGCTTTGAGGTCCAAATGTAAAATTTAAGAATCACCAAGTACCTTACATTGCACTTTCTTTGACTGCAAGAGTATCGCTGTGACGATCAGCTATTGCAAACATGCACACGTTTCTGCAGTGTGTGTTCCCAGAAATACAGGCAAACTGTTGTGTCCATGTTCTTAGCACGAAATCTGTTCATCCTTATGCTCAACTAGCTGATTTTGAGCTTGGAATGTCAGCTTACCTTCATGTAAATTTGTGTGCCTTTTTATCTTAATCTTGAAGTCCCAAAGCTGAAGCAGGTGTGAAACAGCTTATCTGCTGCAGTTTGAGAACCTGATCAGGGAAATGTCCGGGACTGGGCTCATGTCAGTGGGTGTAATCTGTCTTAAACTTGCTACAAACGCACCTATCAGATCTTCACATGTCTGTCTGCTCAACCAGATACGCATTCAATTTTTAACCCTCCTTTTTTCTTTCTGACAGTTTCTACTAAGCTTAACTACTTGTTTCCCTTCTAAACACAGTCCTTCCTGCCAGCTTTTCTTTCTGGCATGATTTTCCTGACTTATGTAGTGTTCAGGAGCTTTCGTGGTTCGCTTCCACGTTCTTCAACCGCTTCATTTTGTGTCTTTAATTTTGTCGTGTACATCTTTGGCTGTGTTGGTTCTCAAGAAATGGTGGCAGTTCTACTATGAGCAGGTTGAGCTGTGATGAATTGTACTCTGTACAGGTGTAGCTTTTTACCTGGTTCATTACAGTGGGATTACTTCAGAGTAGTTGCTTGTAATCCCACTCCCTTTGAGTGGGAAATCTAGGACTAGTTATTGAGTCATGTAGGACATGCTGGTTCTCATAAGCTAAAGATCTGGCTCTTGATTGTTTTGTTGATTTATTGCCCTTCAAATTTATTACAACCTTTTACATCTACGTAACTAGCATGGGGAAAATATCACCAGTGTTTCCTGTGCTGCTGGAATTTACTCTTGCCTTATATCTGTTTCCGTAGCAATGATTACTTGTGTTTTGCAGGAATTACCAATGGGGGTCAAACTTGTCCTTCTGTTGTAACTCAGCAGCACCCAGTCCCTTAGTGCTGTCCTGTCTGTCTTTGAGTATCCTTTATGGCTGTACGTTCCCCTCTGACATAGCAGCTAGTTTGCCGTTTTACTGTTTGTTTTCTGACTCTTCTGTACCTGTCTCCTGTCCTGTAACTTTACACGTTTTTCAATCCCTTGAGTTTGCATGTCTGCCTGACACATCCAGGATAAAGAATATCAGCATTTTTAGAATCATAGAATCACAGAATGGTTTGGGTTGGAAGGGACCTCAAAGATCATCTAGTTCCAACCCCCCTGCCATGGGCAGGGAAACCCTCCACTACACCAGGTTGCTCAAAGCCTCATCCAACCTGGCCTTGAGCACTTCCAGGGATGGGGCAGCCACAACTTCTCTGGGCAACCTGGTCCAGTGCCTCACCACCCTCAGAGTGAAAAATTTTGTCCTTATCTCTAATCTAAATCTCCCCTCTTTCAGTTTAAAGCCATTGCCCCTTGTCCTGTCACTACACACCCTTGTAAAAAGTCCCTCTCCAGCTTTCCTGTGGGTCCCCGTTAAGTACTGGAAGGCTGCTCTTTTTGAGCCTGTCCTATAGCCCACCTTGGCTTTACTCTTCATGAAGACAATGCCAATAGATACTAGTATTAATGAATTAGTGATTCTGGAATTAATTTCTTAATACAGCTACCCCTAAGATGGGATATCTGGAAAGGAGATGCATTTTTTTCCCAGAGTTAGAACTTACCTAAAATTGTAAGATGATAGTCTAGTATGTCCAGATGTCTTTGTAGTGGAAACATGACTGGGGCTTTACCATTCTACCAGACTGGATATTGTTATCGCTGAATAGTTTGATCTCTGTTCTTCACTTGGATGGATGTGAATGTGTAAATGAGATTGAGATGGGCCTGATTATATAAAACTGTCTGTCCCACTTAACTTGACTCCCTCAAAAGCACGGGGCTTTTCCATCTGAACGCAGCTCTGTGCTCAAAGCCCATGCCTCTGCGTGCAAGCAGGTGAGGTATGTTGGCAGGAGAAGAGCTGTCTGACTGTCCATCCGTGTCAGTCTGTTCAGTCTTCCTTGGGGCTGCTGTCGGTTTTTCTCATACCCATTTCTCACTATTGACCATGACTTTCCTGTACTAATAGGACTCCACTCTGCTAATATTCTTGTCTCAACGTTTTGTTTTCCAGCTGGATGAAGCTGTGGCTGCTGCTCATCTGGATAAACTGTGTGTGAAGCTGACCAAGCTGAGTGACAAGCAGGCCAAATACCTAGGCTTATCAAGAGATGGGCCATTCAAGCCAGACCACTACAGATACTGAGCAGGTGGCACTACCCAAAGACCAAAGTGCAGGGATACAACCTTCCAAAGCTCTTGTGTGTGCTGGGCTTCTGAGAACAAGCCCTTTGCCATAGTCCTCTCCGTGCTGCAGAACCCCTCCCCTTACCAAGCGAGCTTGAGAGCCTTGTTTGTTCAAGAGGGTTGCTCTGGCTCTTGGAATTAGAATTGGTTACTTAGGTAATGTCATGGTGAAAAGGACCCTATGCACCTTTTATTGGCTCCGAATGTCCCAATAAGGGGAGCAGGACAGAAGATTGCTAAATGAAAACGCATGGTCTTGTCAAATGTGTGGCTGACAGCCTCCTTGAACAGACTGACCAATAGATGGGGAACGGTTTCCACCAGGAGATGCTTCCTGCCATGCCCTTCTCAAACTAGATGAATCCTGTGAGGATTCTGGCAGTGTCAGGCTTCTCTCCGCGAAGGTGCCCTGGCTGAAGTGCACATTGTGAAACTGGAGGAAGCAGGGAGGAGTACAGGTTGCTTGGTCTTCCTATAAAATCAGCTGAATCTCTTACTTGGAGACTAGGGCTGGAGTGTTTTTCTGGGTTAATTTATTCCATTGGTTTTGGTCAGAACAAAGACCCTTCTAGGCTTCTTCCATAGCAATTGGAGGAGGGGCGAGGCAAGAGTGACTCTTTTTTTAGCAGCCTTCTGGTGTGTTGTGAATGGCTGAGAAGCCCCTGAGGGGATGGTTGGGTTTAGGGACCTTGTTCGATCCTCTGAACACACCAGCAGCACACTTCTACCCCCAACTTGATTTTGCTGAGTTGTCATGTCTGCGGTATCTTGTTTGTCACTGACTCAAAGTGCTTTTATTAAAGATCTGACTGTGGCCTGACTTGTTTTGTGTAGTGAGATGCTTTGGGGTTTGCCATGGATTTGTTTACTTTTGTGTGATCCTTAAGCTACTGAACATGTTTAATGTGTCCACATGGGGTTTCCCCAAGGCAAAAGGCAGTGCTGTGGCTGGCCTGCATCATACTTGAGCTGGGAAAAGCTGCTCCTCAGGTTATTTGAATATTTGAAGGGCTGAATATTACAGGAGAAACACTCTTACCCTCTGCCCACACAGATTTATCTCCATATATGTCATAGAAGTTCTCTCTTGCCACTGCCCTCTTCAGTCAACATTACCCAGCAGGCCACCTCTGCTCCTGGATGTGAAAGATGAAAGGTTTGATATGATGTTAAAACATGCTTGAGGTGCTCTGAGGTTCATGTCCAAGCACCCAGTGTGATGTCAGTGAGTAATTAACACAGATGGTGTAGAGTATGAACTGTTGGAGGAGGAAAAAGCAAAAAGGGGATGAGTAAACAAGGTGTTGCTCAGTATGTAACTCTTTTCATTGCTTTGTTTTGCATAGACCTCTAAAAAGGACCAATTTTAACTGAATTTGCCTCACAAATCCCAAAGACGATTGTCCTCTAAACTTACACGTATACACTGAGCTCCACACAGACACAGTTGCAGCACACATCCAAGTGTAGGTGATGGTGGCAGAGAATAATGATGGTAGAAAATGTCATTGTAGTAGAACAAATGCAACAGAACACAAGGACTGGGTGTTGTCCTTCATGAGTTTCCTCTAGCTGGGCTTCACCTTCTCTAAACCCATTTCTCAGCTGAATGTCTGCTATCCTGAAGCGCACAGGACTGTAATTCTGCTGTTGGACTTGGATCATGGATTCATAGAGTAGTTAGGAAGTCTCTGGTTCCTCTATGTCCTCATACCAGGGCCAATTAGATCAGGCTGGAGATCAGCTTGCCCAGGTGAGTTTCAGTTGTCTCTAGGGACAGAGGTAGCGTAACCTCCTTGGGCTTCTCCCAATATTTGATCACCCTCTAGATGAAAATATTTTTCTGTACATTTAGAATCATAGAATGGTTTGGGTTGGGAGGGACCTCAAAGATCATCTAGTTCCAACCCCCCTGCCATGGGCAGGGAACCCCTCCACTACACCAGGTTGTCCAAGCCTCATCCAATTTAACCGGAATTTCCTGTTGTAGCCTATGCTCATTCCTTCTCATGTTATCCCTCTGCACCTCTGAGAAGGGCCCGGTTCCATCTTTACTACATGCTTGCATCAGGTAGACCTAGGGACCAGTAAATCCCCCTTCATCTTCTCCAGGTTGAATAAACCCATGTCTTAGCTTTTGTGTGTGTCCTATGGTTTAGTCCCCTGATCATCTCGGTGGCCCTCTGTGCTCAGATGCTTGCAGGAATGTCAACGTTATCATCACACTGGGGAGCCAAAACTGGGTGCGAGTGTCTTTAAAGTGCTGAACAGGAGAGAAGGGTCCCTTCTCTTGGCCTGCTGGCTCTGGATAAAGTTTAGCTGCTTAACTGTACTTCATGGTCTGGAGGAAAGGCTGTCTCCACCTTTCCGTCTTTGATAGTTTTATTTGGGTTTAACAGATCTAGCAGAACAGCTCCCTTTGGCTCATTGACCACCCGTGTCAAGAAATCAGCCTTGATGGTCTCCGTAAATCTCCTGGATTGCTTGTGCACAAACCTACTGCCCTTCCAGAAGACGCCAGTGACCGAGATAAGTCTGCCAGCGTTCGCTATCAAGAGGCTATGTCCTGGTTTTGACTGGGACAGAGTTTTTTAGCAGCTGGAAGAGCTCTGTTTTCCATTTGGTTGGATTTGTCATGGGCAGAATGTAGAGCGCACTGATATTTATAGCTGGTGCTGGGACATCAAGGACCTTTCAGCTTCCCGTGTGTGCAGGAGCACAACAGGCTGGAGGGGAGGATGGTGGGACAAAGGGCCCACAACTGCCCTCATGGTTTGAACTTAGACCTCGGACTGAGGGTCAAACTGGCTGATGGAGTATTCCATATCATGCAGTGTCATGTCCAGTATATAGATGAGGGTTGACTGGGAAGTTGGGGAGCTCTCTTCAGAGGGCCCTCTCGGACTCGGTCTCTTGGAGTGTTCTCTCTTTCTCTCCTTTCTGGCCCCTCACTCATCTGAGATTGTGATGTTGGGACTTAACTGTTTCGGGATCATTTACTGGGATGGGACTGGTGTTGGTCACCGGGTTGTGAGCAATTATACTGTGCATCACTTGTTTGTGTATATTACTATCATTTTAAATATATTTTGCATATATTATTAGTTTATCATTATTAATTTTAATTTTATATTAAGTTGTTCTTATCTCAACCCTGTAATTCTCCTTCCCTTTTCCCCTGTAATTCTCTTCCCCATTCCCTGGGCATGGGGGAGGGTGAGTGTTTGGTAGCTCGCTGGGTTAAACCCTAACAATTGTTTTCCAACTATCTAAAGAAATTTTCAGCTATTTCCCATTCTGGTCAGATGGTCTTTGTCAGATGCCCACCACAATGCTACTTGCCTTGGTTTATCTTCTGATACTTGACCCAGAAACTTTTGACTGGATTCTCAAAGAACTGCAGTCTCACAGAAGTTAGAGATGAAAGGGTCGGATGATATCCTGAATTTATCTACATATTCCATTGGGTGACCAACTTACAGTGTGTTCTTGTGATAACAGTGTGCTGGTTTGTTTGAAATGTGGGGTTTTTTGGGAAGATTTGTCAAGAGTGTTTCTGAGAGGGGCCTACCAACCAGTGGTTCTGGGTTAGTGATGCTTTGTTGTCATTTTGTATGTTGCTTAGTGGGTCAGGACCTGTTTTTTTTCCACGTTTCTGTTTACATTCATTACAGATTGTTTGCAGAATTCATGTGTTTAACGTCTAGAGAAATCTGTGTGTGTATATACATATATATGTTTGGTTTTCCTTGGGAGACTTGAGGTCTTATGTTTCCTGGTTGTTGGAGCTCTTGGGAAGTCTGGTAGACATTAGGCTCAGGGGCAGCAGCTCCTGAGTTTCCAAAAATATTTCTAGTGAGAGATTCTGTGTGCGAAATTATGCCTGGAAAGCCCAATGCACATTCAAGTTTAGCTGCTGTTCAAACTCCAGAGGCTTTAAGCACGTGAAATTGTGACTCCACAAATGAGTCAGGGAGGTGTCCAGACAGCAGCAGCTTGACCAGATCTGAAGCATCTCGTCTGCTTTGCAAGGCCCTGGGCCAGGGCAGTAAAGCATCACTGCGAGAAGGAAGTCTAGTGACTTGCTAGCGCAGCACTTTCATTGATCAAACTCATGAAAGCATGATTTGCTGCTGAAAATAATGGAGTTTGAGCAAGTTAACAATGTGAGAATTTGACTTGGAACATGGTTTGAGTTGATAAAATATGAAATTTATATTTGGAATGTGTTTTGCAAGATCTTCTGGTTTATTGGTTGCAGGGGACTGGATCGAACACAGACGCTAACAAAACCCTTGGCAGAGTTTCCATCCCTCCCTGCAGTGCAGTTGTGGTTTGGTGCCGCCTGCAGAGCCACCGCTGTGCCCAGTACCCGTCAGCAGCACGGTCTGTGAGCTGGCAGCGCTACTGCAAGAGGGTGGTGGATGTTTTTGTTCAGCTGTTGTGCACTGCGTGGCCATCGTTCAGGTACAGCTCAGCAGC